GAGCTTCATTTTGATATGCCATATGCCTATATTTTTACTTGATAAATGGCCTTAACCGTTTACATAAAATTTGATTGTATCACTTTAATATTATAATAGATTACTTGACAGAATTTCCCACACACCTTCACTCGTTCTTTAGGACCTGGGATCCGGCTCCTGTTAATCCACTAGGCTTAGAATTCTTCTCTCGATGTTGTCAAACAGTTATCGAACACACATCATGAACGCACACAATACGATCAGGCGTAGAATTCAATACTATAAACGGTCAACAGGCAATAGGAACGTTCCGCGATGGTCGGCCAAAGTGCAGTGGCAGAAAAAATAAAACAATTTTATAGAAACAAATTTATAAAATGTTTAAACAAAGAAACTTTTGTCCTCACCCACACCTAGGTAACACAGTAAATGAGTATGAATTTCGCTTGTGTTAAAAATGCAAATAATCCACACACAAAGTCTACAGTAAGTGAGGTAAATATTGTTTCCTACAGTTACCTAACAAAGCGAGCTTTCTTGCACTTATTATACCACGAAAATTAGTCAATTTTTGCATTTACTTACTTTTGCCGCACTCATTTTACTTTTCCGCACTCCAGTATTCCAACCAAACAACGTTGTGTGCTTTTACAAGGGACGTAATATGTGTACGCTCGAACATAAGTTGGCAACACTTAAAGATACTACGATTACAATCAGCTGGTGCAGTGTTAGTACCCGTAGGAAAAATAATGTAATTTGTAACGAGAGCACACAGATGACTGTTTTGTTTTGTAAATTTGTTTTGGCAAATCTAAGTTTGGTGAAAAATAGCGTTCGTACCACGGTCGTCTCGAACTTAAAAACTATCTCGTGCCGGCAAAACCTCATTTTCGGCCCTAGGTACAAAATATACTATTACAAGGAATTATTCCCTGTAAAATATTATTACAAATGTTCACAAATATTATAACAGACTCAGCATGGATCATAAACATGAAAAATGACGTAACTAAAGGAAACCTATACTAATGACATTAACAAAATGGTTTGACAGTTCCATTTAAGTAATGTTAAATTATATTTACATTCGTGCGAGTGACATCATTTATTATTTTTATGATCCATACAGTTTCTGTTCTAATATTCGTCCAGTATTTAATATGTTTGAACCAGCTGTGTGGAATTTTGAAATCAAAAATAAATTTGACAGTTGGTTCTACTTGTTTACATTTTTAAACTTTTTTTATTTGTTTACTTTACAATCTGTTCTATAATATATTGAACAACTAGAAGCGTACCCATCCTTCGTACGGGGTACGGCATATAAGTAAAAAATGTTTTTAGCAGTTATACTCAACTCAAGCTTTGAACTTGCAATGGGGGAGGACTCATTTTGATAAAATTTGCTTCTTTAAATTTACGGTATACTATAGTAAAAACACATCTACCATAGTTATAATATTCCACCACTTCATCTAAACAATAGAGAAAATAAATTATTAAAAGTTCAAAAAATATCAAAAATTATTCATGAAATTAAAAACATAAACACAACTATAAACAATCCTACTTTGACAGTTCTCATTGCTTATCACAGTTTGTTGTTGCTGCTTAGTTCAAATTAGCTGTTTTCATAAATTCAAAAAAATATAGTGCTGCACCCTGTTGGTAAATCTTAAAACCTTTAATGATTTTGCATATCATAGAACCAACTTTTTAGTTGAAACAGCTGACTAAATTATTTAATTCCCTTTAAATATGAATACTCATAAGGTTAACATGAGAAACTACAGAGCTACTGTGGCGGAGCACGAAAGGATTTTTGAGATAAGAATATGCCTATATGTTAATCGGGAACGTGAGCTACCATCATGCCAAATTTCAGCCCAATCCGTCCAGTAGTTAATGCGTGATTGAACTTCAAACAAACAAACACACAAACTTTCCCATTTATAATTAGTAAGATAAGTAAATGCTATGTAATACAACAAGTTAAATTTTTTGGCATTAAAAATAGCTGTTAAGCACTGTCAACAACAAATTATTCAATAAAAAACTTTACAAAAATCTGAAAGGCAGGTTCAGAATTGATGGCCTCTTAAGTCTGTAAATTGTATCCGTGTTGTTTAATAAGTTTAATGCTAAATGATTTTGATGAGATTCCAATTTCGTAATATATCTTTTACTTAAGGCCATGATTTCTTCCTTAACTGTACGCATCTTAAGGTCTTGATGTAGTGTTCTATTGGTGACATACCAAGGTGCATTTGTTATCTTCCTCAGCATTGCCAAAAAAAAGATACCGATTTTTAAACTTAGTAGGTTTGTTCTTTGTTACCATGGATACCATCAATAAATATTTACTTTTAAATCTCTCACCTCAGATTTTTGAAAGCCCACGGGGCAGAGCCCTAGGTCAATATTGGAGTGGGAATAGTTCTATATGTATCCTGGGACCTGTAGCTTCATTTGTGTGCAGTTTGAGCCCAGTCGGTTCAGTAGTTTCTGTTTATATTTCGTCGTTATCTCGTCACCATCATAGCAACTCATAAATTAATGCCAATACTATTTTTTTTTAATTTAAAATTAATGTTTTTTTATTTTTGAGAATCTACAGGAAAATAACTTTCAACCAGAACCAATATGCGTAGATTTTAGCTAAATTTTCAAGAAACATGCTTGCCTATTAATTTATAGATTATCTAAATGTCGTATTAAAGAAGGACGTTTTTGCATAACTTCCAAGTCCACAACCCATCTTTATGTTTATTCTGTTTACTAAGCATATAGTTGGGTTTCCATGAACATTCGTTTTTTGGCCCATTATAGCCTATATGATTGCCTTGAGTTTGAACTAATAACTGCTGTAACTAATACCTAATAATAACTAATAACCTAATAATAACTAATACCTAATACCTAACCGTAACTAGCTTAAATTTATAAGAGTGGTTGTTTGAATAAAATAAAGGCCATTATACTATCATGTGTATGTCGTCAATGTTTGAGACGCATATTAGTTGTTCATTGATTGTAATTTTATTATTATCGTTATGTAGAAACCGTAACAACACGTTATCATTTGACGACTGTAGTGTTTTGTTGGGTGGGGGTCATAATATTCCGATTTTAGATTTACTCAGACTTATGGGATGATCCCGTTTTGTTTACTTATTGTCTGATATCAGTCTTGTTTATTTTAGGCTATGACTCACTAATTTCCTAGAGTTCCTTCAGTATAAGAGTTCGTAGGGCATCGACGAACATTCTCCAAGTTTTAATACATCAACCAAGAAAAGTATGTTATAATCTTATATATTAAAACGTGAGAGGGTTTTTCAAGATTCTAAATCAACCACTTGATGGATATTTTCATGATTTTTCGTTGAAAGAAAGATAATTTTGAAAAAGATGGGAATTTCGAAACCATAACTGTATAATGGCGTTTAATTTTTTTTTTAGCAAGTCTTATTTTTAAAAGTTTATTGTTATCCATAGGGAGCAAAAGTCAGCTGTTGTAAATAGTCGTGGATTTCGATTGTTGCAATCATATGGACCGAAATGATTTATGGATTGATTTATTAGGTAAGGTTTTGGATTATTGTTGAATTCCTGTTAATAATTCGACATATCGATGGAAAAACATACAGTAACACAATCGTAATAGACTAAATATAATTGGATCACTTAATATAAAAAATAAATAGCTGCTTTCGAAAGCAAGCTGGAAGTCGTTTTTAGAGGTTATCTTTACATGGAAAGTATTTTCGCATTCTAGCTTAGTTTGTAAATTAATTATGCAATATGACGAAAAATAACGTTCATCACAAGGGCAAAATATAGAAACTTCAGCTCGGGTCCAAAACATTCACTTTACGTCATAGTGATGAAAGATATTATTACGTTACAAGTTGTAACGCAACTAACTATTGATTCTGTATTAAATATTTGTACGATGTTAATAAAATGTAGTTTTTTCTTACTGTGAAGGATTTACGCATTCGGATAGTTTTGAAACTTTGTACTTGATACCCTAAACACTTAACTACGTATAATAAAGTTGTGTTGTATATATAAGTTTATGCTGGAGAATTTTGAATTCATGTTAGGTAAATATTTTTTAAGAAAACCATCGCTTAATTGATTAAGTTATAAGTAGTTTGTGTGTTGATAGTTCTCTATGTTCGATCTCGTACGTCTCTCTGTCGACGTACCAAAATGATCAAAGTTATGAAAATGTTAATCGGTGCAGAAGGTAGGATCAATTAATTGGTCACTAGAAAACTCTTAAGGCCCAAATGGCTGACAGTAGAAAAAAATAAATTTAGATCGTACCATAACTATCCTAGTAGCACTGTAATGTTTAGAATCTTGGGCACTGACCAAAAGAGATGTGTTGTTAGTTGTTGTGGCCAAACCCTCTTAAGGTTTTAATGGCCACGGAGGTAAGATAAGTTTGGTAATAGTATTCAGCGGAAGGTACTGTACTTATAACAAGGGTGGAAATTCAAGCCCCCAGTTTCAATTTAAGGTTTTTCACGTGGACGAAGTTGCTGTTTTACTGTAAAGTCGTTGGATTTAAAATTCATACCGTATGATGAGATTAGAAATAGGTGGTCACACGACTTTTGAGTTTACAAGGTGATTTTTCACAAGATATTCTTTTCACGTGGGAAACGACAACAGAACACGAAAAACTAAAGAAAAAAAAACTTATTCTATAACCATTATTGTACATTTTATTTTATTTTTTTGTACACGGGCAACGCCGGGCTTTGCTCTTGCTGCCACAATACAATAAAGTAGTTGCTAAATAATAAAATGAAAATGTTACTCAATTTAAAAGAAAAAGATACAGCGCGCGCTACCTCTTGGCGTCAGCTGTGAAGCAGACATGAGCAAACGCTAATATAGTTCAACGTTTTACCGACAGATGTAGTAAGCTTCTCCATAGGATTTTCTCGTCTTCTGTTTGTTTGGATGTTTGTTATTGAAAATTTCAAACATGGCGGGTCTAGTTAGTGGTGTTCAGTGTTCTCAGGGTTAATGTTTATTAAAATTTCATTTGTGCGGCATAAATCTCGTAAATGACTATTGACTGACATAAATTATGAGTTAGCAGTTGTAACAAGTGCATTTGCACTTTTTGAGGCCTCATGTGCCATACGAGAAGACTGCTACACAAGACTGAAGACATTGTGGATAGTAAAGACTGAGATCAGGTTAGAGTCAAATGTTTATTAGCTATTTTTATATCGTCAGCAGTTATCTTAATGTTTCTTTTGATGCAGTTCTAATTACAGGAGAGTTAGCTAAAATAAATAATTGATTATGTTATATTTAAGTTCAACCGGTGTTTGTAGCCATCAGTCAAAAAGTGGGACATGGTCAAAGCTATTTAGGTATTGTCAATGCAGATGATACTTCAATAAGAGCTCAATAAAATCCCCTAGGCTCATTTAGAATGAGTAGGCCTATATTTCTATTCAATCCTATTTTTTTCTATGATATAATCTTAATGAAAGTAAAGTTTTATTTAGGCTAGCTGATAGCCGTGTAAAAATTTGATTAAGTTACCATTCATTCCATATTGTTTTCTTATTGACCTTCAGTAGTACCTAGGCTAATTTCTCCCCAAAAATATAGGAGCTAACCTTATTATACTCATATTTTATTTATTTCAGTGTATTGGGCTGAGACCTTAATAACAACTGTGCGCCTAGACTTTCAAATAGGTAATTCTGTAACCTATCCTACATGTGCAATTTTTAAAACAACATCTTAGACTATTGTACTTAAATAGGCCCTAAGTTGGTTTATTGCATTGACGCTCAAACTTAAGTTAACTAGTGGGTTAACACTTTTGATGGATGGACATTTTTTTGAATTCTAGCCTGAATCTAGGCCTAAAGCTAGTGTTTCTTGTCCGCTAACCTAGAAAAGCCCAATTTGTGTAGCCTAAATTAAAAGTTGACTTAGACCTAGTGTCAAACAAGCAATTCTGCAGCCTAGCCTTCAGTTCGTTATCAAATAGGCCTAAGTTAAAGTTTTCATTGGATTTAAAAATTTGGTGGCAGAATTTTGACGTTAGGCCTAGGCCTACACTTAATCCAAATAAATTTTGTCTTACCTTCTCACTATCTATTAGGTAAGTTAAAGCAAAACTTATTGTTGCACAGAGAACTATAGGTCAGCCGGTTAGAAAGCGACCTGCGCTAAATTTTTAGCGCATGTAGGGGAGGTAACTGCGAGGGAGGGTGTATGTTCCCCCTCTCCGCGTATTTGTTTGAATTTTGTTTAGCTGTATAAATTAATTGCTGTTAATAGGCCTACCCTATTTTAGTTGCAATTTAAGGGGGCGTGTGTTCGGGTAAGGTGGGGCGGCAGCGGAGTGGGGGAAGAGCCATAGTCTGTCTCACTCCCACAGCTTGGTATCTCTCTCTCGCACCCAATGCTACGAGGAGGTCGTTTTCTAACCGGCTGACCTATGGCAAGAATCGTAATGGAAGGGGGGGGGGAGGAGAGTAAACAATACAATATGGTGTAAAAATTGTACTTGCTCGCATGGCTGCGTCTGAAGCTTGTGGGATACTTGATGTAATTTGTAGACAACATATGTAAGCCTACTGTTACAATAATCTTTACGAATTTAAAAATTTTCACACGTTTGAAGTTAGCCGACAATGATTTTTATTAGGTACAGTCTTTTCTTTAATACCTACCAACAATGTGACAATGTGATTGTATTCCAACTGTCAAAACATAGTTTTCTTATTGCAGTAGACTCCCTCTTATCCGGACACCTTTTAACCAGACATCGGTTTGACCGGACTAGATTGGTAGGAAGTGGGCAGTACCGTAAAATGGGGTAAATAGAAACACTTTTTGACTTTTAAGCTTCTGTAAAAACGATATTTTTAATTTTTAAATTTTCAAAACTAGCTCATATTTTCGGTCTTGGACTCCTCTACTCAAACCAGTTATCATTTTTTTTTCTTTTTACTCATTAAGCAGAAAAAAAAAAATATGGCTGTTTCTATTCACCCCGCACTTTGGGGTGAATAGAAACACTGTGTTAAATTGATGATTGTTGCTTTTCCCCTCTTACCAGGGGCAATAGAAACATGAAATTAATGCTTGTTAGCTTAGGTTGTTGTAAATTAAAATATTTAAAGTTAATTAACACATTTATTTATAAGTACAAAGTATAAAAACATCGTTTTCATAAACCCTTATCCAAACAAATCGGAGAACATAAATGACAATGGGTGAAATCAGAGTAACAAAATCTTAGAAACCAACTAAATGAAGAGTAAAATCAGACAAATCTTCCTCAAAATACAACACTCCCCTAAATCTACAAGTTGTCGAAGTTGTACACGGCTTGGGAGTTGGAAGCCGACGTACTACGTCATCGACTTTGAAGAGGGCCTCTTAATCTGTCTCTCAGAACTTTTTGGTTTGCGCAATTTTCTTGATGAATCTTCCTATTTATCCTTCCTCGTCAAATTCAATAACTTTTGCAACATATAAACGATAGCAAGTGTTGTTTTTCCCCATTACTTTGACAATTACATCATCATGAAGGGACAACTTTGAAGGCTCACTGATGTCTTGAGCTAGGTATGCTGGTTCTTCTTCATCAAATTGTTCGTCTTTGTCACTTTCTTCCAGTGAGAAGTGTGACTGATGTGGAATCATCTTCATATCTGGTATTTTTTCTTTTTTGGGGGTTTTCAGGTCAACCTTTATTAATTATTTGCACCACTGGTTCCAAAAAAAAGTGTTTCTATTCACCCTGGTTTTGCAAAATCATGACATAACCTAAATTAAAAATAAAGTAAAAAAATATAGTTTATTTTAAGGCTAATCTATTAACCCACTTCCGGTTTTAAGATCCCTAAGACAATATAAAAAATGGTTATTAACATAAATACATGTAATAGGTTCATACTTAGAGAGAAAGTTTTGAAGAGAATGTTTTTCGCCAAAATTTTCAAATTTTGTTTCGCATCATCCAACATCCGAAGCAGTGATACCAATATGCTGAAATAATTTTTCCCAGGTAGATAGGATATGGTTATAATGGGGGAAAATTATTCCCTTATATAAAGTCAATGTATAACAAAGTTATAAAAATGTGAATCATTCATTGAAGTTTTGTTTCTATTCACCCTGTTGTTTCTATTCGCCCCATTCTACGGTATTGAAACGACTGTTCTCTTGGGAAAGATTTGAAATCAGTGATTATGTGTCTAAATACAGTGCTCTCCTAATTTTGAGTCAAATACTGTATAGAGTATGCACTTAAACTGTCCGTTTTAATGAGATTTTGGGGACGTCGGTTTAACCGGAAAACCCGTTATCCGGACTGGGATCGGTCCCGAGGAGTCCGGATAAGAGGGAGTCTACTGTATTGAATACAAAGCAGTAATATTAGTAGGCGAGTACTGACTTATTTGCAACTTGGTAAGCCTCAAAGGCCAATATATCTACCGGGGCCATCGAACGTAGTCTAACTAAAACAATTTTAGGCTTCTGATTACCTACCATTTAATTTGTGAGCAAATCACAAAAACCCCAAAAATATATGCTTGTTATTTGTTTCTACTTAGAAATTAAAGTTTAGAACTATGACCCTTGAGTTTTGGGTTTGAATCCTGCCCTCAGTATATTGTTTGCATCTTGTGAGGAATTCTACCTGATTGTGACAGGGGCAAATGTTCACCCAGAATAAATCATTGGACAGCTCAAGTTAAACAGTAGGAGAATTGTTGGTCTGCTACAGCTCAAATCAGGAAGTGAACTATGCTTAATACTTCTTTCACTCCATTGGGGCAAAGTCCGGGCCTGTATCAGTTGAAACGATTCTGAAGTGACTATTGGATCTTGTAGGAGCTTTCACACTAGTGCGGTTAGGCCCGGACAATCCTAAACTGTCAATGCGGGTCCAGTAGTCTACACTTATGCGTCCCAGGCTGGTTTCACCTTGAACGTTAATCAGTAGTTTTCCCAGTTTGTCTTTATCAGTGGCTGAGTGCAGTGGTTCTCCAATTTTTTCTTCTAAACATACAAAATGTTTGTATGTAAGGCAGAAGAAATTGACAACGAGCACTTGATTAGTTGGTCAAGTAAACCTGTTGTATTTTGGTTTGGTTTGTAGGCCAGTGATGTTGGACATACACCCTGAGACAGCCAATTAATTTCCATTTAGGCCTACTTGATTAGGTATTTTTATTAAAATATTTCATTAAACATGTACCTGAATTATTCCATATTTAAATAACTTTATTTTTAAAGACATTCGGTTTCGCTTATACAGGGAAGGTAATGATAATGAATAAATGAATTTATTTCCCATATTACAAAACACTTTACAATCATAATATCTGTTGAGAAATGTAAATAATTTTGATAATGATTAACAAAGTGATTTTTAGCTAAAACCTTGTACCGGTAACTTAAAGTTTATACATGCATTGTAGGTTACATACGTAGCATAGGCTATATCAAAATTTGATCTACAGTTTTGTTGTTTTTCCCCTCTTGGACCGATGCACCGATAGCAACAGAAAAAAAAATACAGTCCCAGGTTTAGGTGTTATTGTGTTTTAGTAATGGAGCATGGTGAGAGGTGTGTTTAGAGTAAAAGTATGATTGCCGTGGACATTCTACTGAAGTTTAAGATCTTCCCTTCATCACTCCGTAGCTGTGACCATAGCTTTTTTTGAAATACAATTAATCAACATAAATTTACCCGTACTTCTTGAATACTAAATAGTTCCTAACTTATTTATCACAGGAGCGTTGTTTTTTCTTTTAGGATACACAACAAGTATAACGCATACCACTTTACTGTTGTTATTCATTTCAATCTTAAATAAGTTACACCCAAAAATCACAAATTTAAGCCTGCAAAAGCCCAGATCCGGGCAACTAATGTGAAAGGGCAGACCGGAATGACGATCCGGTGCAGGCTCTAACCACACTGGTGTGAAAGAGGGCTAAAAATTAAACTTAATACGTGTTTATACACCAAAAACTTATTTAGCGAATTTCCCTACAGGGAAGTAGCTATTACCGTAGGTGGCACGGTAAGACCTAGACCCGGGACCGATTTACTTTTTCATTTTGATGTAATATATTATTATATGTAATATATTGATTTTATAGTATATTATATATATAGACTTGTATATATATATATATATACGTCCGTGAA